AGGCTGGAGTGCAGTGGCATGATCACAGCTCACTGCAGCCTTGAACTCCTGGGCTCAAGCAATCCTCCTGCCTCAGCCTCCCGAGTAGCTGGGACTACAGGCATGTGCCACCATGCCCGGCTAATTTTTTCTATATTTTTAGTTGTCCAGCTAATTTCTTTCTATTTTTAGTAGAGACGAGGTCTCGCTCTTGCTCAGGCTGGTCTCGAACTCCTGAGCTCAAACGATCCACCCGCCTAAGCCTCCCAGAGTGCTAGGATTACAGGCGTGAGCCACCATGCCCCGCCCTTATTCACTTTAAATTAAAAATGCAAACTTATCTATACAGATTTTTTTCAATGTATGACTTTACAGGAGGTCTGTCCGGACAATGGCTGGATACTTTCTGGACAGACCTTGTATATCTGCATTTAAAATATCCTAAAAAATTGTAACGAATGCTTACCATGATTATTTTTCATGGAGAGATTATTAGCAAAGTTTGTTTTTTCTTTTACTAAATTGCATTTTCTGATTTTTTTCTTAAGCGAACCAAAAGTGCAGGAATATATTGAAACAGAGTTAATGATCTTGAGTGTGTTAAAGTAATAACATATTTTTGAACTTTAGGGTGAACCTGTATGTAGACATATATATATGAAAGCTGAAAGTAAGTAGGTTTGTTCCCTCTGCACTTTGTAACATTACATCCAATTCCTTACTATGAATAGTCTGAATCAGTATTTCTTACACCCAAAATCACAAGCTAATGATCAGGACTCAGTTTCGTTGAGTCTTCCCATACTACCCTGGTAACCTTCGTGAGTATAAATTGGCTGTTTGGGTTGACAAAGTACATTAGCGGCTAATAATTTTCTTTTTAAAGATACTTGTGAACAAAATACTTAGCAAGCAACAAAAACCATTTTGGAATAGAATCAAATGATCCACCTCTCCTCAAAGATGAATCCAGTTCTTTCGTCTTCTATTTTTCATATTAATCATTAAAACTATTGAACTATAACTCCAAAAAGAAATGGAAATATTTTTCCCTACGATAGGTGATTGGAGCTGTAATAGATTCTTTTGCTGTGGCTGTAGCGACTCAGGACAACAGGCTGGCGTACGGGGAAAAGAATCAAGTCATCCTATGTACCCCTCATTTCATTCCAACAATCGGGAACCAGAGCACATGTGATTAGTTCCATTGGGGCAAAGCATTCCGGAAGCTAAAATGAGAGGCGACACCTCCCTGCATTGTATGAATTATAGGGAAATGGAACTGAAACATAAGACCGACAGCACCGTCCTGGTATTGGATACTAACGGGATTACAGATTCTACGCTTGGTGCATCACATTACATGGCTTACGGCTTACAGCAGCCTAACGAATTAGATGCTATTATTAACATATTTATGGATGAGCAAAAGGAAGCACAGAGAAGTTGAGTAACTTGCCTAAGGTCATAGCTGGTAACTGATTAAGATTCATAATGTCATTATTCCTAATAATCCTTCACTGGAAATAATCCAAATGCTCATAAACAGCAGAATGGACAAATAAATTGTTGTCCTAGTCACATGACGCAACAACCACAATGCAAATAAATCTTGTAAATATAGTGTGATTCCTTGTATATAAGGCCAAAAATGGGCAAAATTGATCTATGGTGTTACAAGTCAGTATAGTGGTTACCTTTGGGAAGGAAGGAGGGATTGGGGATTGGGGATTGGGAAGAGTTCCAGGAGGGGCTTTGGGGGTCTTGTAATATTCTATATTTTTTTTAATTTTTGAAAAAGTTTTTTTTTTTTTTAGAGATAGGGTCTCATTCTGTCACCCAGGCTGGGGCATAGTGGCATGATCATAGCTCACAGCAGCCTCAAACTCCTGGGCTCAAGTGATCCTCCCACCTCAGCTTCTCAAGTAGCTGGGACTACAGGTACATGCCACCATACCTGGCTAATGTTCTATTTTTTTGTCCTGCACGGTAGTTAAATGGATGTGTCCACTTTGCAGTAACTCACTGAGCTGTACGCTGACGATTTCTTCATTTTTATAAATGTATGTTACGTTTTAATTAAAAAGGGTTAGGTTTAAAAAAGCAGTGTTACAGTTTAATTGCCCAATTGGTAACAACAACATGTGATAAACACTGCTTTTTGCTGGCAGAGAAGTCTTTAGTGCATCTCTGTGAAAGTTCCATCACTGGCCCGATACTGAGCAATACCCAGAGCCAACTGAATTGAAGGTAATTGTGGTCAGTAAGGATCGCAGACTGCAGCAGCTCAGGCCAGTGACACCTGAAGATTCTAAAGAGGAGTTCTGCAAAGGCGAGCAAACCTCAGATCTTTCATGAAGTTGGATGTGTATAAACCGCTTGCATGGCTGCAACCCTGCCTGTTCTTTCAAATGGCACCTTTGTGTGAATTTTAAAAAGCCATTCCTGTTCTCAAGCAATTTTACTGCCATCTGCTGGAAAAACCATTCAAGTCTAAAAGAACTTGAAGGTGAATACTCACCGCAGAATTGTATAGTGCACATTCTGCACAACCGTATGTGTTGACCCTGCTTTGACAGTACTCAATGAGAACCTTTATTTCTGCCGAAAGCACCATCATAAATCACCAAAACAAATTTCTCACACAAAATGCATTTTCTCTTGGTTTTCACTGTGAAATGCTTGGTGGAGCAGAGTTAAATCAGAACCCAACAGCTACAGTATTTACCAGGGCAAAGGAAGGAGAAAGCATGACAGGGCTCACAGCCTGCTGGGTTCTCTGACCCTCTTTGCTTATGTCAGCCTGGGAACTAAGACAAGAGGCGGGCTGGGAAGTGGAATGGTGTGTAGTAGCCCAGGAGCAACACCTGTAACTATCTTTCATCGAGGAAGTGAAATAAATGCCAAATTGTCTTAGCCCTTGGTGGCTGGGGGCTAATTGCCTAACTTCAACTGGCTCTGAAAGAGACAATACACAATCTGGACACCAGAGGTGTGTTTGGTGACTGCTTCACCAGTTATTTCATCTTTTTTGTGAAAATTCAATCCAAGTCTATATTTATTTTTAAAACTAGTAGAAAACAAATAATGTTCAGAAAAAAAGAGAAAGGAAGAAAGAAAGAAAATATAGCTAAACCAAAAAAAGAAAAAAAAATCACTTGTCTTGCTATTTCCTAAAAATAACCACTTTTTAAGTGTGGTTAGAGTAAAGCAGTTTGGTATATATCCTTGCAAACTTAAAATGCAAGTTATATAAAAACAACCCACCAATGCCTATGTCTACATATTTATACACGTATCTATAGCTGCATGTGTAACTATATCCATGCTTTTGGAATTTAGATAACTTAATTCCAAAAGAGCACAATGGCAGAATACAAATTTGAGCATTATGTGTGTGCACATACATTTGCACAATCATAATTTGACAATTTAAAAGTTATCTGCTAGAACATATAGTAAATATACAACAAAATATAAAACACAGCCAAGAACTGTTAGGGTGTATGCAACCAGCAGGATCACCCTGGCTACGGTGGCCTCACTGACCAATTCTTCACAGCCCAATGGAGCACACCATTGCTGCGGCCTGCTTCCTGCATCAAGCTCTTCAGTTATTACAAAGGCATGCTTTTTAAATGGACAATCGTTAAATTTTTTTTAAGAATTTCATTGTTTTGATATTTTTAATGTTTAGAATCTCAGATAATACTCTCTCTAGCACGCATACACACTGTTTTGTTTTCACAAAATTTTACCCATTTTTTTATTAACATTAAAAATTATTAATATTAATTTTTGTTCATGCTACAAAGATTTTGTTCTTATTGGTAATTTCTTGCTGTAAAAAGGGAGGAGTGGTTGGCTAAGTGGTTAGCTTGTAACTGGATAAATTCCCGGCAGCCACCTCTAGAAGGTTCCTCTTATTGAAATCTAGAAGGGGATTAACAGTTGATAATGCTGTTATACAACAGACTTTGTGCAACTCTTTCTGCCTATATCAGCAACTTCAAGGCAATTATCATTATAAAGCTGTCCTCGGTAGATAGGCTAAGAAATCTCACATACAAGCTAAGCATAAGAACCAACGAAGGAAACACATGTTCACATACCAATAAGCCAGTAAGAAGGGGACAACAGTATGCCCAGCTAGCGAAGCCACGGTGACAATATGGCCGTGATTACTCTCCATCATCGCTGGAAGAAATGCCTTTGTAGTCTAGAAATAGTTTTAGTAAAAGAGAAAAAACATTGTAATTTTCATTTGCAGACCCACTGGGAATATTTTGAAACAAAGATTTAAAAAAAATATATTGTTCATGGTATAAATGAAAAAAACCTAAATTAAATGCCAAATGCGGCAACATAAGGCAACTGGACAGGATTCCCACATTAGAAAAACTAAGCACAATATCAGATGCTGAAAGCTTTGAGAAACCATCTCATTTAAATTACCAAAATAAATCACTACATTTTTTTTGGTGATTTTACATAACTTCTTATGTCCCCTAACCCTCCACCTCTTGTCACTGATGTCTCTGTCATCTCATATACTGACTAGGGATAATAATTTCAGAGTTATCAAAAGAATTTACATTTAGTGAAATTATCAAAAAATGGTTTGGTTATACCATCAAAATATTCACATGAATAGCAATCTGCCAGTGGTCATTAAATGATTCATGAACCAAGTATTTGTTGAGTACCTACTATGTGCTAGAGATGCAGAAACAAATAAGACAATATCTTACATTTTAACAAACACAAAAATATAACAATAGATCTCATTAACCTGGGAATACTAACATAAAATAACACTGCATTTTTACCAACCCCAATATTCTTATTTTTTATTTTACTTTATTTTTTTAGAGACACGGTCTCACTCTGTCACCCAGGCTGGAGTGCAGTGGCATGATCACAGCTCACTGCAGCCTTGAACTCCTGGGCTCAAGCAATCCTCCTGCCTCAGCCTCCCAAGTAGCTAGGACGACAGGTATACACCACAAAGCCTGGCTAATTTTTTTATTTTTTGTAGAGACAAGGTCTCACTATTTTGCCCAGACTGGTCTCGAACCCTTGGCCTCAAGGGATCCTCCCACCTTGGCCTCCCAAAGTGCTGGGTTTACAGGTGTGAACCACTGAGCCTAGCCCCAATATTCTTTTGAAATTAGTCATTCCAAACTCACGTCCAAGAAAACTTTGTGAGACCTTTTAAGAACTGGCCATACAGACAATATTTGGAGACTTCAGAAACACACACATATCATATATATGTATATATATATGAATGATAAAGTTTGCAATTTTAGGGCCAGGAAATGACATGAGGCCTGAGTCTCATGAGAATCTGAAAGCAAACTGTGTTCACCTTTACAAAATCACAATGACTCAGATGGTTCCTAACTCCCTTCTTTATCTCTAAACAGGATCATGCAGAGATGTGAGAATCCAGCTTAGAATTTAAATATTCACAACACCTGAAGTTTACTGTTACTATCAATATTTTTGAGGGGGGAAATGATAGATGGAATTTAGTCATAGCACGAAAAGTTCTGTCTTTGTATAACGTCATCCCTGGTACCTGGAGAAAACTTTAGCATTGATTTATTACTTTCTTATGTCTGCTGAAAGCTCTACTTTAAATTTAATCATTGGGATTTTCAAAAGCAAATGTTTTGTAAAAGATGTCATACTCACCCAGAAATGTGCAAGTACATTAACTTCAAAAGTCTTTTCAATCTGAGGGTCTTGTGTAGCAAACAAATCTGATGTGTAGACTACACCAGCATTATTTACTAAAATACTAACATCTCCAACTTCAGCCTTCACCTTTAAAAGTAAAATAAAAATATATTCATTAAGAGGTATGACAGTAGGTTTGCATGCAATGACTAATAAAGGAATATGCATATTTCTACTAGATACGGGAAAAAGTGGTTTTATACTCTATGTACCAACACAAGGGGAAAAAAACCCTTTTTATCTTACTTATATACGAAACAACTCTATCTGCAAGTCTACTATGTAGCAATTTTCTTTTGCAACTTAATTTAGTCTCTTGACTTTGCTCTATTTATTATAGCTCAAGAGGCATTTGGGGCCGGGCGCGGTGGCTCATGCCTGTAATCCTAGCTCTCTGGGAGGCCGCGGCGGGCGGATCGTTCTGAGCTCAGGAGTTCGAGACCAGCCCGAGCAAGAGCGAGACCCCGTCTCTACCAAAAAAAATAGAAAGAAATTAATCGGACAGCTAAAAATATATATAGGAAAAATTAGCCGGGCACGGTGGCGCGTGCCTGTAGTCCCAGCTACTCGGGAGGCTGAGGCAGTAGGATTGCTTGAGCCCAGGAGTTTGAGGTTGCTGTGAGCTAGGCTGACGCCACGGCACTCGCCCCAGGCAAGAGAGTGAGACTCTGTCTCAAAAAAAAAAAAAAAAGAGGCATTTGGCTAAGCAGCATTTATTTTTTAAACACTATTTCAAAAGCTAAGCAAAAAAAGTTAAATGAATTGGCAAATTCACAGATTATTATGGAGAATTATGTAGAATTGATTACCCTATTAAGCTGGCCATATTTTCTGTTTGTGTGTTTCTATTCCTTTATTTTCATGGTCACTCTGTTCTGTTGTTCACCAGTTATCTCCATGCGGTGGCAGGAGGCTTAAGAGTTAACATGTGTGGTATCTTTGGACCTTGAGCTGAGTTCTGGCTCTGCCACTCACTATCTGTTGGACCTTGGACTAGTTACTTAACCTCTTAAAGCTTCAGTTCCTCCTCTATAAAACAGAGATAATAACAAAGCTTCCTTGTGAGTTGTTGTGGAAATAAATAAAATAATGCATGTAAAGGAGCTAGCACCGTATCCGGTACACATAGTAAACTGCTATTACTATCACTATTATACATCATTATTTCATCACCATTTATACCTGTCTACAAGTACTATGTTTTAAAGTTGTCTTCTTGACCTTCTCAGGGGTCTATGAGAGTACTTAATATGGTAATGTAACTATGAAGTAAATAATATAAAAAATACATTTGTATGTTTTTCTAATATGTGTGTGTGTGTTTTCTCTTGATAACTAAATTTACTTTGGTATTGATACAGAAGGAAGAACATTTGAGAAACTAAAGTGGTTCTGTGGAAGGGCTTATGTAAGCTCTCCAGGCCAGATTTCAGAGGTTATTGCAGCTATCATAGGTAAAATGATTTCAGTTTAGGAAATATATATTAATACGAAAGAACAAGCCTTGCTGCTAAGAGCATAGAAGGCATCCTTTAAACTGTAAAGACTATTTGTACTCAACAGGGAATAATCACAAGTAACATAATTTTTTTAAAAATAATTGTTATAGCTTGTGGACTCTAATATAAGCAGTAACAGGATTTTCAAATAAGAAAGATCGTAAAATCTTGATGCTTAAGCTGTACTTTTATAAGATTAGATTACCACAGTCCCAAGGGCTAGCAATGCAAGAATATCTTACATGATATAATATTTTTATGGTTCTTTGAGTAACTAAGCTTCTTGGGTAGATAGACTCTAGAGTCATAACGCATTTTAGTATACCTTATGTTCCAAACAAAAGCTAGCTCTATTAGTAGAGTTATCGTTATTTAGAGATAGCGCTACAATGTGTTGGGGCACTGAGGGAAAGGTGGCAAATAGCCTATTAGAGGCTATAATTGTATTATGCATTTTATATCATTTCACTATTTTTCTCATTTAATTCTCACAGCAATTCTATGAGGCAGCAATTCTTTTCTTTTCTTTTGTTTTTTTTTAGAGATAGGGTCTTTCTATGTTGCCCAGGCTGGACTTGAACTCCTGGACTAAAGAGATCCTCCTGCCTCACCTCCCAAGTAGCTGGGACTACAGGCATGCGCCACTATGCCCAGTTAATTTTTTCTATTTTTAGTTATTTGGCTAATTTCTTTTTATTTATAGTAGAGATGGGGTCTCTCTCTTGCTCAGGCTGGTCTCAAACTCCTGAGGTCAAACGATCCTCCTGCCTCTGCCTCCCAGAGTGCTAGGATTACAGGGGTGAGCCACCGCGCCCGGCCTGACCCTTGATCAATACCATTTATAGCTATATCCACATTTCTAGGAAAATATAAAATTGTTCAGAATAATGCCTCAAATTTATCAAGAAAAGCAGGACATTTTATGTGGTTGAACTGATAAAGCTGCCGTATTGCTTCTCAATTATTATGACTCTCAAAATACAAAGTAATGTTTTATGTTACTGAAGAATTTCTCCATTTACTCTTGACCCTTTCTTCATCATTATCTATTATCTCTCCAGCATGTGAATGTTTAGCTTGCATATTTCTTATTAATGAAAGCAAGCTGAGAATTTATTTAGGTGGCATAAAAATGTCCTATTACCAAAATGGCCATATGAAAATAGCTACTTCAAAATATCTGATAATCACGTGTCTTTGTATATATTCTGTTTAGGCTTATAGGCTTAGATCAATTTCAATAAAAACTCTATAGTTAGAATATATGAAATAGGTTAAAATAATAAAATGATCTTTTCCAGAAGAGCCTATTCCCAGATAAGTCTGGAAACAAATGTTTTCTATTTAGGTAACTAAGGAAGTTGGGCTAGTAGATCTCCCTAATAATGACTAGTAACAAAATTATATAGATAATATTGTTAGTTCCATTATAATACTAATAACTAACACTTACAAAGTGATTACTGTGGGCCAGGTACTGTTCTAAGTACTTTACGTCATTAACTCATTTAACCTTCACTAATAACCCTATGAGGTATGAGGCTGTGATCCCCCTGACATAGTTGAGTAAACTCAGAGAAGTTAACTTGTCCAAGGTCAGACAGCTAGTATTAACTGGACAGCAGACTTCGGACCTGGCAGTCAGCTCCACAGTCCATGGTCTTAAACACGATGTAATAATGCTTATCTCTATGAAGGATAATCATTGTTCGTGTAAGTAAAATACTTATTGATAAAGGCAGATGTTTTGTGCTCTTACTGTTTTCCCTCCCAGGAAAGCTATTTTGCAACCTTGACCTGGGTAATTTCTCCTTATTCTTTTGACTTAGCTCAGGCCCCACCAATAATAAAGAGGCACCAGTTAGAAATAAAAGACTCAAATTTTAAAACAGAAGTTGAGAATGAACCATAATCTAAAATTCCCTAAACAAAGAGGTTCCCAGTCTGGCAGAATTAGAATTGTTACACTGTTCTGAATCAGAATATCCAGGGGTGAGGTCCAGGAATGTGTATTTTAAAGAATTTGTCCAGGTAATTCTGATGACCTTCCTACCGTTAAGGTATTTAGGGCAGGGTGTGGTGGCTCAGTCCTGCAATCCTACCTAGCACTCAGGGAGACCAAGGCGGGAGGATTGCTTGAGGTCAGGAGTTTGAGACCAGCCTGCTCAAGAGTAAGACCCTGTCTCTACTAAAAATAGAAAAATTAGCTGGGCGTGGTGGTATGTGCTGCCTGTAGTCCCAGCTATTCGGGAGGCTGAAGCAATAGGATCGCTTGAGCCCAGGAGTTTGAGGTTGCTGTGAGCTAGGCTAACGCCACGGCACTCACTCTAGCCAGGGCAACAGAGTGAGACTCTGTCTCAAAAAAAAAAAAAAGAAAACATCTGGGGGTAGAGCCCAAGAGTGTATGTTTTTAACAAGCTCCCTAGAAGGTTCCAGAACACACTAATGTCTGAGAACTTCAGTTCTCTAGGCTCTATCTAGTTCTGGGTTTGCCACTAGCTAGATGCATAACCTTTGACAAATAACAAAATTTCTCACTGTGTCTTCATCATGAACAGACTGGTAGGTAATCTCCAAAATACCTCCGGGCTCTAACATGATATTCTAACCAAACATAAAATTTCACCTTCTTTGCAGAGCTGTAAATATCTTCGCGGTTACTGCAGTCTACTACGTAGGCATGAACCCTGGCACCCAGTCTCTTGCATTCAGCAGCTGTTTCCTCAATTCCATGCTAGGAAAAGCAACAAAGAGGGCGAGAGAACAAAATAATTCATATGAGCATATTATATCAGCAGCTGAAAATAATTAAAAATAATAAAAAAGGTAGATTCTTTGAATTGGGCAAGAATTTAACTGACACATTTTTGGCAGGGATATAGGAACATTTTGCTTTTGGTACTTTGCCTAGCTTCTTTTATTTGGAACTGAATTTAAAGCTGCAGTCCCCAACCCCCAGCCAGCACCCTTCTGTGGCCTGTTAGGAACCAGGCGGCAGAGCTCCACCTCCCCAGCCCACCCTTCCGTGGAAAAATTGTCTTCCATGAAACTTAGGAATGGGCCCGCACAACAGGAGGTGAGCAGTGGGCAAGCAAAGCTTCAATGGTATTTATAGCCACTCCCCATCGCCTACATCACCACCTGAGCTCCGCCCCCCCACCCTTGCCTCCTCCCTCACCCCCACCCCAAGTCCTTGGAAAAATTGTCTTCCATGAAACCAGTCCCTGGTGCCCAAAATGTTGGAGGCTGCTGATTTAAAGCAAGTTTTTTTTTTAAGAAGATAAAAATCTCAAAATATATGTTTTACATTTATGAATTTTAAATATTTTGTGAAAGTATGTATTTGTGTGTATTCCATATCAACCTTTAAAAAAATAAAACATTAAGTTCTCCATGTCAGTAAGAGCTATTCATGGACATCAATTTACTGACTACAAAATAAATAATGAGTTAACTACAGTTCATTGACCCATCCATTCTTTCAACATTTTAATGTGTAGGTCACGTTCACTGAGCTTAGGAGAACCTAAGCTCAAATATGAATGAGACAGAGTCCCAACTCCAAAAAGTTCTCAGTGTAGCAGAAAGAAACATAAAATAAGTATGATATTTAAGTAGGACCACATCAAATTGTTATTGTTTTCATAATAACAGATTGAATATTGGCAGTTTTATACAGTTCAGTCTAATACATTGTGGTGAGTCTAACAACAGAGGTATAGAAAGGGAGTTCTGCAAACACAGAGGAGGGGCACGCAATACAATTCTAGAAGTGGTTGGCATGCCCTTTCACCTGTCTTTCCCTGGGGTGAAAGGGCATGCCAGGCAGGGTGTGAGCAAAGATGGACAGGAGAATGGTCCTATGGAAGCCAATAGTAGGATCAGCATTGTGGGATGGATCATAAAATTCAAGACCAGCAGAAGGTTCGGACTAAGGTGTTACAAGTCATTAAGTTTTATCCAAAAAAAAGTGAAGGGGGGAACAACTGGTTAAATTATGGAGTCAGGTTTATGTGTTAGATTGATTACTCTGGCTGATGCATGGAGAGCGGATTTTAGGGGTCAATACTGGAGGGAGAAAAATTGGGTGGCAATTACAGTGATTCAGGCAAGAGATGATACAAACTTGAATTGTGGCATTAGTAGAGAGGTAGAGGAGAGAATAACTTCGAAAATGTATCTTTAGGAGGCAAAATCAGCAATACTTGGTGATTAGATGAGGAAGGAGGGAGAGGAGCCACAGCTGACCCCCCTGCTTTCTAGTTTTGGGAGCTGGCAAGACAGTGCTGTGACGTGTCAGACAGATTACAGGGCAGGGCAGATCCCAGGAAAGGGGTGATGAGCCCAATTTGGGGCACTGTTTTCAGCCACTTTAAGTGCAGGATCATACCATAGGGTTATGTCTTGGTTTTCTGTTTCTAATCTTTGCTTTTTTGTTTGCTTGCTTTTGAACAATTTTTAGCTTTTTTATTTTAAGGGAATGTCTCAAAGGATATCTTGGATTGAGGTCTAGTCTGTGAACTTTGTAAGCCAAGAAATTGTCAGCTAATGCACAGGTGGATGGACTCTGGGAGAACTTACACATTTGCCCACAGTGAGTGTGGTAAATCAGAGCACCAGTGTACAAATTGTAAACAGAAATTAATGTTGCAGAAAACCCGAATCTGGACAGCTATGGAAAGAGTTAGTAGTTTGTGTGGTGAGCTTGTTATGGTAGTAAAGGGAAACAGGGTGTCTTCCTTTACTGAAATCTCGACGAACTGTAGTATATTCTGATGAGGAACCCTTATTCCTCAAGGAATATTAACTTCTCAGGTAAACCTTCTGTTGCCCTCCTGTATGTAACCAGCTTTTAGCATTTTCTTTTAAAAGTATATTTTATTAATGTGGTATATACATACAAGGGCATATTATTTAGCCTTAACAAGGAATGAAATTCTGATACATGCTACAACATGTACAACTTTGAGGACATTATGCCAAGTGAAATAAGCGAGACACACACAAAAATAAATATTGTATAATTCCACATATATGAGGTACTAGAGTATCTTATGCATAGAGACAGAAAATAGAATGGTGGTTGCCAGGGGCCGGGAAAAGAGAGGGTTGGGGAGATTTTATCTAATGATAGAAGAAACTCAACATGTGAAACTCTTGGGCTGGTGAATATGTGGAAAAAGAGGGAGGAAGTAAAGTGGAGTTTAAGAATGTCGAGTCTCTTCTACCTGGACTGCTCCAAACCCCCACCCTACCCTTCTCCAGATTTACTGGTTCTCAGACTCCCATAATTTAAAATCTATAAAATTCCAAGAAGAACAGTGGGATGTGTATACTGAACCAGGATTGCTGACCTTTTACTTGGCTGAAGAAGGACTTTAAAACCTAAAAAACAATTCTGATATACTATCATTGTAATTTCATTAAAAAATACATTATTTTTTACCCACAAAAAAGTAGGAAGGACATAATCTCAGAACAAAAGACGGATTGTTTCAATTACACTAATTTAACCTAATAAAAACTTACTACATTGTCCTTGATTCTTCCGACCACTTCTCACAAGCGCTGCTACTACCAACCTGGTCGGACAGTCCCCATGATGTCACCGCTCACCTGCGTTATCACAACCACCTCGTAACTGCTCGCCCTGCTTCACTTGCTCCTTCCATCTCTCCTCCTCTTCGGTCTCTTCAATAGGAGGATCCTCTTCAATAGAAATTGGCTCAAAACCCTCCACTGACTTCAACGTACACACAATAGTTTACAGGAAACTTTGTGATCTGGAGCTCCTGCCCCTTAAGTCTCCAGACCAGCATTGTCCCCCAGAAATATAATGTGGTGGTCACACAGAGTGGCTTGATGGACATTGGAAACTCAGAGGGGGGAGGGCAGGAAGGGAGTGAAGGATGAAAAATTACCGATTGGGTACAATGTACACTATTCAGGTGATGCGTATATTAAAAGCCTAGACTTCTCCACTATGCAATTTAGCCGTGTAATGAAAAACCACTTGTATCCCCTAAATCTATTTAAATTTAAAAAAAAGAATTAGTTGACTTTTATAGTATTCTGCTTTATATTAAATTTCACAAATACGAGAGAGGATTACGACACGAAATTTTAATGCAAGTAATAACAATTAATCTAGGGACATAGGTAATGATTATACTAGATGAAAATAACAAACTGATAGGCACTGGAATAGTAACATCTCCTATTGCTCAGATGGAGTTCAGTTAGATTTATGGAGCAGTAACAACAACAAAAACATGCTATACCTAGCCTGTAGGTCTAAGCAACAGCAATGCGTCTCAGGAGACTCTCTTCATCAGTTACGTGCTTAGTGTTCACACTATCAGCTTCCTTGATTATTTGGATCTTGTGGCTCTAACCAATCAGAACGACTTATAATTTTTTGTCCTCAATTTTCTTCCCTATAAAATAAAGGGTTTAGCCACGATAACTTTAAGATTCTCCAAATCTCTAAAATTCTGAGATTCCATATTTTTGGAAGGTTTGAAAATCTGGACTGTAATTAATTAAAGTCAACCAATGTAAGGAGTGTATGCTATCAGCCATGCAGACCTGGAAACAGAATGCCTTGCCAGCAAGCGAAACGGCTTCCTAAACACGAAACTATTTCCAGGATACCAAAAAGGTCACTTCCAAGTGCTACGGCCTCGGTTCCCCTAGAAAAACCTCTCCTGTTGCCTGACTTACAGAATTAGAGATTCATCTGTTTAACCTAAGATCCTATCCTCATGGTAAAATACAAATGACTCTGGAAAGGTCACAAATTAAACATTATCGTTCTTAAAAAATAAAAAAAATAATAAAAGAAATAAAATGCAAACCATGTATGTAATTTTAATTTTTCTAATAGTCATGTTAAAAATTAATTTAGTATAATAATATATTTTCTTTGACCTCATATAGCCAAATTAATATCGTTTCAACATGTAATCCATATAAAACTTATTAACACAAAATTCTACATTCTTTTTTTCATACTAAGTCTTTGAAATCCAATGGGTATTTCCACCTACATCATATCTCAGTTCAGACTAGCCACATTTCAAAGGCTCACAGCCATAAGGAGCCAGTGGCTACTGCCCACCATTGCACTGACAGCACAGATCCAGACCTTAGCTCTACTTCTCTCCCTCCCCTCACCGGGTTTGGTATTTGCTGATCCCTTTCCCAGGACCTACTGTGCTCTCAGCATCTTCTGACTCAACTGTCTCCCTCTCAGTAAGGCCTCCCCGGCCACCTGATTAAGCCCAACACTCCTCCTACCCGCTCCCCACCAGACTCACAGAATTAGAGATTCTGTAAGACACCAGAGACAATCCTCATTCGCTTTCATCATTTACTTTTTTCTTTATACTTACCACAATCCAATGGTTATATATTTTATTATACAGTGTGGCTTGTTTATTGTCCCTGGCTCACGAGGCTCACAAGGCATTGGAGTGGTGCCTGGCAGATAGTAGGCACTCAATAAATGTTTGTAGGATAAATGCACTTTACTCCAGATAAGAGAAAATTCTGTACAAACCAGTACTGGGCACTGGAAGTCATTGACCTAACCAACTTTTACACATCTCCAAATTTTGGCTTAAACTTCATTTTGTCTAGGAGCAATAATAGCTAATAACTCCAGTGTGTTTACCACATGCCAAATGTGCTAAATGCTTGTGTGCATTACCTCATATCCTCCACTCAGCCTTCTGAGGTAGGTACTGTTATTTTATCCGTCTTGCACAAAAGGTCCGGAAAGTTCCGTAAGTTGCCCAACTAAGGAAGGAGTACAGCGCTCAATGTGTCTGACCACAGCACCATGCCAAATCTTAACCATGCTGCCCAGGCTGGGCCTAGTTTCTGTCTTTCACTGCACTCATAATTACTTAATGTTTATTTTCCCCTAACTAGACTGAGGGCATGGGACCCTATTTCCTGTTTGCTTCCTTGTCCCTAATGTCCCTGTATTTGCCAACTGCCGTCTCAGTCAATCACTCACTAGGTTAATGCTCATTTAACTTCACATCCTTGATTGTAGGTCCAAGTCCACATCTACACTTGTCCTGGGTAAATAAATTACATGGAAGGTCTTTTCTTTTCTTTTTTATTGTTTTTTTTTTTTTTTTTTGAGACAGAGTCTCACTCTCTTGCCCGGGCTAGAGTGCCGTGGAGTCAGCCTAGCTCACAGCAACCTCAAACTCCTGGGCTCAAGCGATCCTCCTGCCTCAGCCTCCCGAGTAGCCGGGACTACAGGCATGCCCCACCATGCCCGGCTAATTTTTTCTATATATTTTTAGTTGTCCAGCTAATTTCTTTCTATTTTTAATAGAGACGGGGTCTTGGTCTTGCTCAGGCTGGTCTCGAACTCCTGAGCTCAAACGATCCGCGAGCCTCGGCCTCCCAGAGTGCTAGGATTACAGACGTGAGCCATCACACCCAGCCTCTTTTTTATTGTTTTTACTAAAAGATGCTTTTAAAAAATTACTCCTAGCAGTAACTATGGCAGGAGTTGCTTTCTGTTGGGTATAATCTTTTAAAGCACTGTCTCATTAACTGCAAAAAGGACTTTTCTTAATAGGTACTAACCTCTTTTTTAATATACTAGCTAAAACGATTACTTTTTCTATATGATTAAGATAGCAGGATCAGTGAAATCAGTTTCAAGAGGAGATTAAAAATTATTTTCAGGGCAAAGGTGAGGATGGACTTACAATGTCAAATTAGTGATGGGCAGCACCTGGGAATCGTATGTCCTCTAGGTCCATTAATCAAGTGAACATACGCATATGAATTCATTTTTCCCCCTCCATCTGCAAAATGGCAACAGTAATTTCTACCTACTTACAGAGATGATGGTGTAAGGAGTGGTTGCCAGCAAAATGCAGACATGTCCATGGATTAAAGGTACCAGAAAGTAAAACACAGTAAGCACTGTTACCTTGTTTATATCCCAGAGAACCAGTTTGCTTTTAAGTTTGGCAAATTCATAGGCAGTCAGTCTCCCAATTCCATGTCCGGCTCCTGTAATCAGGACGATTTCACCGGTGACCGATTTTCTCTTCTTAGGAATAAAAAGCTTCACCAAAGACTCTAAGGAGAAGATGATTAGTAAGGGCAGAAGCAGGAGGCTGTTCAGAAGGAATTTCATCCTTTTTGTGTCTGTGAGCTTTTGGTGCGTTTTCTTTTACTAATCACTCTGAATTGCTTTTGGGGGGTTGCTCGGTCAAACACCAGAAAGAGTAGAAGCGAGAACAAGGAAGAGAGAGCTCTTTTATCGAAGAGAAACAAACAACTCTGAAACCGTTCCTTCCGCTGGGCTGGGCTTTGTTAGGTCTTTTGCAATTGGCTCGGGCTGCAGTGCGGAGAGACTGCTTGCTGGCTCTGAAATCTGGGAGGGACAAAGTCCAGACCCAGTGATGTTTCCTCTTTCCCGCAGCCCCAACAAGTGTGTGGCCAAGACAGTCTTTTACTCACTTTTCCCTGGTCTCATGAGCCTACCTTGGAGGGTTAATTACTGGCTTGTTTTCCTATGTAGGATAAATTCCTGTCCCTTACAAGGATCACTGACAGTGTCTGCAGTCCAGATGCTTCTTTCAAAGTTGAAGGTTGCCTATCAGGAGATAAGGGATGCAAATGTAGATGCTTGTCTTAAAGGATCCTGAAAAGGCTAATTGTTCTGTTCCCAGTTGAGATATGACCCTACACAGATTGAAGTCTGAACTAAGCACGATATCTGGAGAATAGAGGAAATTTTGACCTTTCAAGGACAGCGATGATGAAGCCCCAGGAACAATTCTTATATTTAAGGGGGTTGGGCTGGGCGTGGTGGCTCAGGCCTATAATCCTAGCGCTCTGGGAGGCAGAGGCGGGAGGATCGCTTGAGGTCAGGAGTTCGAGACCAGCCTGAGCAAGAGACCCCGTCTCCACTAAAAACAGAAAAAAAAAAAAAAAAATTAGCCCGTCAACTAAAAATAGAAACAAAAAAATTAGCCGGGTGTGGTGGCTCGCGCCTGTAGTCCCAGCTACTTGGGAGGCTGAGGCAGGAGGATCACTTGAGCCCAGGAGTTTAAGGTTGCTGTGAGCTAGGCTGATGCCACGGCACTCTAGCCCGAGCAACAGAGTGAGATTCTGTCTCAAAAACAAACAAACAAAAAACGCTGGGGAAAAAAGAAAAAAATCCTAGACATTGGTTACTGAAAGAAAAGATCTAAATAGGGCTTGTGTGCGGTAAGAACTTAATAACTGTCTGTTATATGCATTTTTTAAATTCAGTTTTTGACAGTAATTTAACTTGGGCTATGTACAAGACACGTCGGGGCTTGGCAACAGACTTTCGTGATGCAATGATGGTCAGCCTTTATATTTAAAAGCCAGAAAGATCACAAAAAATTAAAGTTCAAAAATAATTCATACTCACTTCTCCCTCTTAAGTAGCCCTACCCCATCATAGGGGATGAAGGGATAGTGACGGTCCCACAAAAGTAGAGCTGTACTCTGGCGTTCTTTTAAATCTGAATATCTCCTACTACTTTTTTGTATAGCCCCAAACCCAAGTTTACAAAAGTACAGTTTCCAAAGTGTTTTCCCACATATATTATCTCGTTTGATTTTCAAAAGCCTCCTAGGAAGCAGAGAAGAAAAATATATCTCTATTTTATAAATGAATAAATCAGTTAGACTGATTTTTATTAATAAAAGCTTCCTCAGTGCGTAAAAGTGTAATTGGGGCTAGACACATGGTCAGTGTTGGTCAAAACTTTTTGCCCAACATCTACAGGAAGAAATTACATTTTACGTGGTGACCTCGTATAGGTGTGAGTGTTTGGTTTCATATATGTAGACTTTCATATATTGAGGCTCTGGTTCTGCTATTTCTTATTCCATTCTATTAAAAAATAAACTTCGTAATGTCAACAGGAAAGCAGCCAAACTCTGTAAAATAATTTAAAGAGGTTTATTTTGAGCCAAATTTGAGGACCATGGCCCAGAGCCACACCCAAGAATCTTTACGCAAGTGGACTGGCTGTGATTGGGTTACAGCTTGGTTTTATATATTTCAGGAAGACAGGAATTACAGGTAAAGTCCTAAATCAACACATGGAAGGCATACATTGGTTTGGCTGGAAAAGGTGGGACATCTCAAAGCGGAGGGGTGAGGGCTTACAGGTTATAGGTGGATTTAAAGACTCTTTAACTGGTAATTGGTTAAAGAAATGAAGCTTTGTCTAAAGGCTTGGAACCAAATCAACCAATGGCGATTGGTTTGCTCACCATCGTATCCACAGTACTTGCGACATATCAAACGTTCAATATTTAGTGAACAAATGCATGGTTGAGAATTTAAGCTTATAGTCATACAGACCTATATTTGAATCCTGGCATAGTAAACTGAATAATGACCCCCAAAGAGATCAGGTACTAATTCCTGGGACCCATAAATGGCACCTTATATGGAAAAAGGGTCTTTGCAGATGTAATTAAGAATTTTGAGATGGTAGGATTATCCTGGATTATCCAGGTGAGCACTAAATGAAACCACAAGCATCCTTATAAAAGAGAGGGAAAGGGAGATGTACCTCATACAGAAAAGGAAAAGGCAATATGATCGCAGCAGGAGAGACTGGAATGATGTGGCCACAAGTCATGGAATGCCAGCAGCTACCAGAAACTGGAAGAGGCAAAGAATGGTTTCTCCCCTGGAGCCTCCAGGTAGAGCGTGGTCCGCTGACACCTTGATTTTGGTTCAGTGAAAGTGGTTTTGGACCTCTGGTCTCCAGAACTGTGAGAGAATACATTTCTGTTGTTTTAAACCACCCATTTGTGGTAATTTGTTACACAGAAAACTAATACACCTGGCTCTACAAATTTTTAGACAAGCTGTGTGATCCTGTGGAAGTTATTTAACTTTTCTGAGTCTGTATCTTCATCCGTAAAGTAGAGGCAACCATGCCAGCGTTCCTGGGGTTATTGTCAGTATTAAATGTGGTAATATGAGTAAAGTGCATAGCAAATAGTAGGCAACATATTGTTAATGCTTGAAAAAAATAATTATTACCATTTTTTTTGACATTTTATAAAACTTATCTTCTTTAGTTCTCATAGCTCTATGGTGTTGAGTACCGTATCTCCTTATAGGTGAGGAAACAGAGAGAAGTTAAACAATTTGCCAAAATTATGTGGTCAAACTGAAAAATACTATGAGGACAGTATTTTTGAAATTTTTTTTTTTTTTTTTTTTGAGACAGAGTCTCACTGTGTTGCCTGGGCTAGAGTGCTGTGGCGTCAGCCTAGCTCACAGCAACCTCAAACTCCTGGGCTCAAGCGATCCTACTGCCTCAGCTTCCCAAGTAGCTGGGACTACAGGCATGCGCCACCATGCCCGGCTAATTTTTTCTATATATTTTTAGTTTCCGATTAATTTCTTTCTATTTTTTAGTAGAGACAGGGGTCTCGCTCTTGCTCAGGCTGGTCTCAAACTCCTGAGCTCAAACAATCTGCCCTCCTCGGCCTCCCAAAGTGCTAGGATTACAGGCGTGAGCCACCGCGCCCGGCCTATTTTGAAATATTTTTTGATGTTTTTTATATTCTGATATCTTATTGCCCTGAGGCACCCCATCCCTTGTAATAATGGTTTCAGTGTTTCAGGGGGTAGGACAGATATGAACTAGAACAAAGAAACAACTGTCAAATGGGATTTTTTTTAGTCTCTAGCACAGTATTAATCTTGAAAGCCAGGCTTTGTCAAGTGAGAAAGGGTTTTTAAAAATTCCTTCAGCATGCGTTTATGAAGAAGCAGGATTGGTGAGTGTGAAGGATTTCCCTAGCTGAAAAAACACAAAAGATATGAAGAAAATCCTTGCCATAAGAGAAGAGAGAGGGGGAAGGAAGTCGCTTCTGACCCAGGGAATTATGAGAAAGAAGAGGGAGATGGCGGTAGTGTAGGCAAGTATTAAGAATCCAGTAACCTGACTTCCCACCCCAATCCCCAACCAAACCCAATGCTGCTGCTTATCCAGTTTCCACTTTTATAATACCTACTTCTCTATGTTGTGCAGAATAAAGGTTGGTGGCGTTTTAATTGCACTTGGGATAAAACCTAACTTCTCACCACAGTCGGTAAAGGCCTCATGTGTTTGGCGCTTGTGCCAAGATTTTTACCTAAAATAAACACAGTGATGGTGACTTACCCAAATAAAGTTTATTTTCCTCATTAGTCCAGAAGCAGGCTGTCCAGAGCTGGTGCAACTACTTGAAGAGGTCATAAAAGACTTAGGCTCCTTCTTGCTCCCTACTGTGCCATCCATACTGTGTGCCTTTCGTCATTATGCTCTTGAGACAACTCCTCCTCCTCTAGGAATTGTGTTTTCTTTTCAAGTAGGAATAAAGGAAGGAGGCAAAATGAGCGAGTTCCTTTTCATCAGGAAAGCAATACCCTTCCCAGAAGACCCACGTAGTAGACTTCCACTTTCACCTCACTGACCAGGAAGGGCCATATGATCCCTTTAGCATGAGGATGTGAAATTTAAAACTAGAGATATTTCTACATGTAACATGGAAGAAAAAAAGAACGGATATTGGGAAGCAGCCAGCAGTGTCTACCATACCGGCCTCACTGCAGATTATTATGTTCCTGGCTTGCTACGTTTGAGTATAATAATACATTGGCTTTTCTGTTTCTTCATTATTCTTATTCTTTCCTACTGCAGAGCTTTTTTCAATTTACAGTTCTCTCTGCTTTTAATGCTTTTTCCCTAGCTGTCCAATGGCTGCCAGCTTCACGTCCTTAGGTCTCTGTTCAAATGTGACCTCAGAAAAGCCTTTCCTGACACACCTCCCCTGCAGTCTAAAGCAGTCACTGTCCCCTCAGTTATTCTCTTCCACAGCAAGCTGTCTATTTCCTTCACGGCACTTTTCCTAACCTGGAATTCCTAGTTCGTTTATTTATTAATGTCATTTTCCTCTCCTAGAAAGTAAGCCGCTTATCTTGCTCACAACTGTATTCCTGGCACCCAGGGTGGTCCTTGGTAAATAGTAAATAGTCAGTAAATATATTAGGTAGACAGCTAGGGACCTCCGGCCCCTCCTGGGGACAAGGCGGGAGACTGGGACACTTGGAAGAGGAGGGAACACCTCGAGAATCTGCCAATCAGAACTTAGTGCGCCAACTGCAAAAGAATGCAGAGGACTCTCTAGCCCACAGGCCAAGTAGCATAGGTACAAAAGAGTCTGGAAAAGTGACCTAGAACAACTGGCCATCAGAGAGGTTCATGGGAGATCCACATGTGTGGTAAGACTCAGGTCACGTACCTCCCAGCTGTCCACTCAAAGTGGTTCCATGGTGACATCTGAGCCTCCAGGAGGGTCCAATTCAGACGCTATAAAACAAGACCCAGACCATA